TTAGTAGACATTGATTTGTATTATAAACTGAAGATGTGACAAATTTACGAAGACCAGTATATATTGGAATACAAAGAAATAATAACTTCAACTTGAGATTTCTATTTTTTTCACTCGGAGAAAAGACATTATGAGATAAATGGGATAAAATGCCTCAATCATCATATAAAAAAAAAATCCTTCATGGCTTTTATGTGCATTGACAGATGGACTTTTCATGACCTCATCACCTGAGCATGCGTTTCAACAGCAAGTGAAAGGATTGACAGGAAAATCCCATTCCAGGCCATTGAGCCTTTTCAGAGGTAACATACTTAACTTGCTTTTGCAATTACATGCACACTAAAAACCTTTACTGAACATTATACAGCCTGAAAGGGATCAAGCAGCACATATCTTTCTAGGTTGAAAGCAATTTAAATGGTTTTAATTTAGTCAAATGTAGGTAGTTTAATGGATCATAAGCTACACAGAATAAGCTTCTTTCTAGGGAGGATGAAAAATGAGCTGCTACAGCACAAAATTCTGATCTCTGTAAATTTTAAAATGGTACCTTATTTCTTATCAATCAAGTTCTTTGAAAACTGACATTAAAGGCCAACAGCTTTTGTGCTTGCCAGGTAAAAATTTCCAGACAGGCAATTTTGACTTTTTAATTTGTAGAATAAAAGCTTCCCAAAGGAGAATTTATCCTTGCTGTTATTGCCTTGTGGATCTTACTACATGTTAAAAAGGCAAGTGACAATCTATGTCAGGTGTGGCCATGTTCTAAGATTGTTTTAAGATTGTCATGCAAAGCAAGACAGGATGTAAAACAGAAAGATCAGCAAGGTTGACTCTGCTGTTCATTTTTATAGACACTTATAGTGCTGAATGCAACCAAGAAAATGAAATGTATTCCAAACTTCTACATACACTTTCAAAAGATTCAAAGTAAAACTTACAAGTTCAGACTATGTCATTACAACTGTACATGGCTGATGTTATGTCTTTAGTCTTCGTTTGTTTCCACTCACTGAAATCCACCACAGGACAATAGAGAAGAACCTCAGTAGGTGTTGTGGTATGTCTGAAACACTAACATACATTACCAATCTTATATGATGTCTGACCAGTGCTTGACCATAACTCATTTAGTCATAAGGTGAATCTGACTAACATGCAATAACAAGCGGACGAGGATAAGTATTTATCTCCTTTATTGCCATGTTCCATTAACCCCAAAACCTCAAAATTGTTTTGAGGGAATAATCTCAAAACCAATTTAACTGCTTTCTAGATGGAAGTAGCAAATAGGATTAGCTAATTATTGTGCTTAGCGACCACACTAATAGGTTTTGACTATCATCCACAGTGCAAACCAATAACAAGCAGCAAAATGTGCCAACCAACAGATGTTTATTTCTGTAAGTGTGGCAGATTCCATAAGAAGTGACAAAGATGCAAATATACGACGCACAGACTCCAACTGCAATCTCTTTTAATTCATATCAGATTTTGAGGTCAGAGTTGGAGCCAATACCCCCAGGCTTTGAGAAACAGGAAAAACAAAGAAATTGTGTAAACATCTTAAAAATGAAGTAGAGATCATACTCTGAAACCACGGGGGCAGAATGACTGAGCGAGAGAGCATGAACAAAGTTTACCAAAGCAATTGCCAGAATCTGTCAAAGTGTGTTGGGAAAGAGATCATAGCACTGCATGAAGTGGAGAAGATTTCAACGTGTGAAGTCTCTGTTCAATTTTAAAACTGAATCACACTCTGGAAGAAGATGGAAGGAGACACTCTGCTGTTGTAGATAAAACATTCGGAGATCCGTTTCTCACCGCTGACCCTGAGCAGCTATCTACAGCAGAACATGGCATCTGTCTTCCTTTTAAATACATTTTGTCTGGATCATTACATAAAGGTTCATAATTGTTTACAATGAATTATAACTTTATTTTTTCAAAGTAATTGTATATTAGATTTTGATGATAAACTGTGTTAAACTACATAACCAGCACAACAGCTGCATCACATTTAAACACGTGTGAGTTTAAAGTATTTGTGATAGCTGTGCCCTTGGTTGGTGATGAGGATCGCATTGTCCAAGCTGTAGACTCCCAGTGCTGCTGCCTTTTGTGTGTCTCACATAATGGCTCTGTGCTCAAAACACATTGTTCAGATTTAAAATTTACATAATGCTTTCACCTTGGCATTTCTGTCTTTTTGTATCTATGATACAAAAGATAATACTTGCAGTACACCACACACACACACACACACACACACACACACACGCACACAAATACAGTCGTACACGTCAGGGTCAGGCAACCTGTTCAGCTCAAACACATTACACAAACTAATAAGAGCTATTTTGGTCACACGTCCAGCTTTTCAACTGGTTTTTCTTTGCTTTTTGTTTTCGATTTGTACAAAAAGAACAAAATTGACACACTGAGCACATGTAAAGAAGTGAAAGCCGTTTTCCACAAGTCGAAAATAATTGATGTAATGCTAGAAGAGAGTTTCTGGTCTGCCAGTGATACATGTCATCCTAACAGGAAGAATATACTTGGCTCAGAAAAAAAAAAAACACACACTCTGACCATCGGATCATTTTGTATGTTGTTATGGGTCAAATAAAATGGAGTGTGGCAGCCCACACATTGTCCTGTCCACAAGTCTCAGGGCAGCTCATTTTTTATAATGAACACCTAAGAAAGCCATATCTCTCCTTTTCTCTACAAAAAACATTTTAACAATACTTTAAGCCTCCATGCAGCAGCAAACAACCATTCTCAATGTACTGTTGGTGTTATAATGATCTTGACAGAGTATGCAGTTTCACTCTCCTATTTTATCCTCATAAGTGTTTTTTTGCTCCAACAAGGTACCCCAGCCGACCTTGATTATTCGTACATGTGAGTCAGAGCAAGTGAAGCTCTTCGTTTTCTTCTCTTAATAAAATACACTCTGCAATTTGACAAGACTCCCACAAAAAGAGGAATAAGATCGATATTTTTCTGAGTTAAAGAAAATCTCATAAATTTTTAAGAGGCTCTTCTTAAGTTTTTGGCTTTTTTTTTCTTATATTCATTCTCTGTTTGTTTTCATCTAAGTGTCTGCTGCCAAAGTGCAACATGCAGCTTTATCCCCCAGCAAGAAATGTAAATTACACCCCAGTTATTAAGTTCTACAATTTTAAAAGCTACTGAGCACTCTCATAAACATTAAATTAAACCTTGTAGAATCAAATGGCAAGAAATGCTTTAGTTAGAATTGGAAGCCATTTGTTTCATGTTCTTAAAAGCCATTTGTCACAATGTGACCTTTGGTTAAATTGAAAAGTCTCTGGGGAGTGAGAAATTTGATTTCCAAGAAGAGTGATGTTGGACTGATACATTTTTTAAAACTGATCTTGTCCACTAACAAACTGGTTATCTACGATCATGGCTGCTGAAGGGGGGCCAAAAGGGACAGAGTAGGCAAAGAGGGACATAATTTGGCCCCTCAAACATAAAATCGTTCTACATTTATCTTAAATAAATGTAGAAATATATATATATTTTTTTCATAATTTCCAGATCAAACTAGAAATTTTAAAATAAATTACAATTATTCTTGTTTCGGTCATCAAACAGATTGTACATTAAGAAGAGCTTGTTAACTTGAATGCACAATGTACATGCATAGATACAAACAAGATTTAACATCTAATTAACTAAATTAAGCATAACTGGCCACAAACTTGACTGCAATATGCAAACTAAGTGCTTCCAAATTGATGCTCTTACTTGTAGAACAAGTAGTAACAGGTATTAATGGAATCAAATACACCAGTAATGGCTGGTGGGATGTTTGTGAAGAAGTAGCACTTGTACAGAGTTGATGCATCCAAAGCATTAAAATATTCTGTCCCACAGTCATGGGGGACATGTTATCATTGGCATTATATAATGCCTATCATAATATGTTTGGATTTCAATTAGAAAGTAAGTGAGCAAGTTTTATTTATTCATCACCTGATGCAACTGATGATTATGCTAATGACAAGACACTTAACCCACAACTTATTTTTGTTTAATAGTTTGCATTTTTGTGTTTTGAATGTGTGCATAAGTAAAGGCATGAACTTTGGGATGCTTAGATTGGACAGAAAGACTTTTGTGTTTGCGATTGTAAATCTCAAGACTTTTTTCATGATTCAGTAAATAAAAACAATGATTTCTTGCACTCATTTAAGCCATTTGGGACTCTGAAATGAGTTGCAAGAGCGTCAAGGCATTTTTATCTCTGTTTACATTTTCCACAATGCTAGAGTGAACAATTGATTCTTTAGGAAATTATAATTTCTGTTCAAACCCTTTCCTTCTTCTGAACCCAAACGACAGACACCCTTTAAATGAACTATAAATTCACCTTGCCATTGATGTCATAGATTCTGAGTGAGCATGAGGGAGCGATTAGGAGCAGTGAGAAATCATTTTAAAGGTGACCGAGGATTTCTCAAGGGACACCACCTTCAGACATACAGAGGAGAACTCTCACTTTGTATTACAGTGGAGCAGCTTACGCAGAAACCAGCTTTGCACAAAATGCAGCAGCGAAAGATAATATTTCACCACAAAATATAAAATCTTTCGCTTCATCTTGCTTCCAGATCAAACAACTGAAGCCAAAGAAAATCTTGAGATCTCATCTGATAAATCTTAACACCAGCTTTAGTAGGATCTTTTTATTATAAGCATGTTTAGAGAGTATTCAACTACTGCCTGATTAAATAAAACAAACACCAAACAACTGCAGACAACACACACTGGAACTCATAAATAAGCTGTGAAGTACTTTAATACAGAGGCAGGCTGCCTCAACACTCATTTAAAAGTCAAACTGGTTTTCATTAATAATTCAGTCAGTTGAAAAACTCAAAACAAACTCATCTAGTGAGTTTATTTAACTCATAAATAGTAATTTGATTTGTAAATACTGTGCGTATCTGTGTTCTACTTACCCTAATGTGGTCATGGTGACAATGGTGTACCAGAACGAAGCTGGGATGCTGGTAAACTTGCTGGAGCTGGAGCCCTTCTCTGCATAAAACATGACCGTAGCGAAGATGATGATGGCCATGGTGAGCGAGAAGAGGAGAAAGCCCAGCTCCGAGGCACAGCTCTTCAACGTATAGCCCAGGATTCGAAGCCCCTGGGAGTGGCGGGAAAACTTGAAGATGCGAAACACTCGGAAAACCCGCAGAGTCACAAAGGCGCCACTCACGTCCTCGTTGTTGGTCATCACAAGGCCAATGTAATATGGCAAGATGGCCACCACGTCGATAATGCTCATCACAGAGCGCATGAAGCGGTAACGGCTGGGTGCGGCAAACAGGCGCAGCAGGTACTCCACCGTGAATATCATGACGCATGCAGTGTCTATGCAGAAGAACGCGACGGTGTAACGTTCACCGCATGGCATGTCTTTTTGGTTGGTGGTAGTACCACAGGGGACAGTCTCCACCACATTGGTGATGACTGAGATGGCAATGAAGAAGCCGGTGACATAGTAGAAGACCAGGGCCAAGGTGGAGGTGTGGGGATTCTCAAAGGCGCGCCACATAGTCTCTCTGAAGTTCAAGTTGGGCTGCTTCAGATCTTTGTTTTCCTCCTGGTCGTCCTGCAGCCGCTCCAAGTTCTCCCTCTTCCTGTCCTTGTACTCTTCATAGCAACAGTCACCGATGATCTCAGGTATGATTCCGAAGAAGATCAACTCCTCGTCGTAGGCCGAGATGCACTCATGACGGGGGTAGTGGAGCTTTCCTGTTCGGTAGAAGTTAAGGATGCTCCTGAAGGCATCAGGGTCTCGATCAAAAAAGTACTCCTTTGTTTCCTCATTGTAGAAGAAGTCCTTCTCTGAGCTGCCCAGCAGAGTGTCGGGGTATCGATCCAACGTTGTTCTCCATGTTTGAAAGCGCCGTCCGCTGACATTAAGGATTATCAGCTCATCTTGTTTTCTGCTGTTGTCTCTCGGAGCAATGGGCATGGGACAGTTGGCCACAGGCATCCAGCCAATGGCCGCAGCCCTGGCAAAAGGAAGCCATGCAGCTACTCCGGTTGCCATTACGAAGCAGAAGGTTGGACAAAGGCTTCGTTTAGATGTGACTGCTCTCAAAAAGAACTGGCATCTAAAGAACATTTGTACAGAAGAAAAGAAACAAAAAAGGTAAAAATCAGCAGCTGCACAACTGAGAAAATGATGATTGCCGGTCAAAGATTGCTGCTGCAAAGCTTGTATACTGAGCTTAAAATCAGTTCACTCTATAAAATGTCTGACCACTCGGCACACTTTTGTTCAAATCTAACAGAAAAAGTTAGGACTATACCCACCATGACATACATCTACAATTCTAATGCTCTGAAAAAATTATAAAATCTAATTATGTAAGCATTTTAAACCATGATGACTAATTACCTACCACTGGTCATTTGATATTGTGTAGGTTTGTGATGACATAGGATTAGTTCAGAAATATTAAGATGTTTCTGGTCAGTGACCATGACAGAACCAGCTGATCTTCAAAAGCTTGAGTTTTATCAAAACAGGTGAAATTTCACATTCACAGCTGCAAAAACATCAGTAACTCAGTGTGCTTCACCTATCTAGAATCTTTTTATCATATGAAACTCATACGCCATAAGAGTTTTACTGTTTGCATAAATTATATTAAAAAAGTTTTTTTTTTTGTTTTGTTTTTTTTGTTTTTTTACTTCTCAATTGCATCATTAATTTATGCGCATGTGTCACATTACAAAGCTCTACGGTGGAGGTTTTTGTTTGATTATTTTTTTTCTTTTTCAGAAATGTGATTAATACGGTTAATTCAGTTTCTATAATCTTTTTGTCTGGCACATGGCTGGGTCCCGGGTCTGTGACAAAAGCAGCTAAACGGCAAGAGTCGAAAATAAGGCGTCCCAATCATGGTCTTGTTTTACTTCTAGTAGTTTCGGCTTCCAAGACAAGGAACTACAAATATAGTTCTCTCCATCAGCTCAGCAAAATTTAAACTAATAAATATCAACCTGTTCGCCCCGAGCTGCACCATTACTATTTAGCAGCGCAGAATAGGGAACTGAATCAAACCTGTTGAATAGGAACAAGGGAACCTGCTGAAGATTTAAACAAGCAGCAACGTGGTTATTGGGTGCTTACGTTTTTAATTCGGCACAGATATATATTAGACTAAAATGCATTTTAGATCAGTCATATCAGTTTCTGCATTTTTCCTTTGACTAACAAAGCATTTTCATCCAAGACGCAAACAAATAACTTCTCCAACTATTTCAGAATTTGCTCGTCTGAAATATTGAATATTTTAAAATTTAGATTTTCAAAACATAAACGTACTCACCAAAAAGGAGATGAACTCCCTTCAAAGTCGAAACATGGAGAGTTTTAATGAACACCGAGTCCGCAGGTGTCAGAGAGAGAGAGAGAGAGAGAGAGAGAGAGAAAGCAGGAGCCCGCCTCCATCCAACGAGCAGCGCGTCTCCTCCAGGATGGATGGATCGATAAACTCCCGTGGACACGTTTCCGAAGCGGAGCAATCAGTGCTTGGATCGCTCAAAGAAGAAACGGTCTGGTCCGAGATAATGCGAGTGTTACCTGGCGGACTCTACATGGTGGCTCCTTTGTTCTGCCGTCAGTGTTTGGAAAGTGAAATGTGATGGAGAGGAGCGGCGCGCCTCCTTCTCTCCTGCTCGGAGCACAATGCGCGCCTCGCTCACTGAGGCAGCTCCGTGTCAGTCCTGCTTCTCCTCCTCTCTGCCTCATTTTACTCATCTCAGACAGACCAAGCTGTCACTCAAAGCTACTCCAACACTGTACTGTTGCTTTTCGGACGTGTTATAGCTATTAGAAATAATACGCTACATTCATTCAGAGTTAGTGTTTCAGGGTGCTGATGATGAGCCTATGTTAAGCTGAATACTCAATAAGTAGCCAATATATACTGTATATATATTTTATTTACCAATATTCAGGGAACTTTAATTTTTATTTAAATAATTGGTGGTTTATCTTGTCATGTTGACTGAAAATACAATTCATGCAGTTTTCTTCATTCTTCCTTTTTTCTGACTGTATAAATTTAAAAAAATTAAACAAACATGTTTGAGGGGGAAATACAAGTGATTAATGTTGAAGCTCTATGCAAGTATCTTGCCTTTCCCAAGCTTAAGAGCTGCAATTTTTTTTCCCTTGTACATCTACAAACACTGAAATACTTTAAAATGCTATGGATTCATTTATTTCCCTTTGCTTTGATGTTGTTTATCTTAAAAGGCAGAGAGGTTCTTGAGAGGTCTGTGAGATAATGATAGTTAACACTAGAAATCCTCTGCTGCATCTGATCTGTGAGACTCACTTCAGGCAACACTTTGTAACCAGGAGTAAACAGAACCCTTGGTACAGATCTCTATTTTATTCAGCTAGTATATATAATACATATGTATATATAAAAAATATATTTGTTTATTATTATTTGAGCATGTGTTTTTCAGACTAAGTGGGATTCACCTGTGAAGGTGGCAGAGAACGACAAAGAGAATTTGTGGGATTTCCAAATTCAACTGGACAAGATGGTAATGGCCAACCAACCGAACACAGTAAGACAGCTGTTGTGATCAATGTGGCCAATCCAAAAGATGGAAACATTAGGAGAAAGGAACATGCGAACCTGTAAAAATACCGCAGGGTCAGATAGAACCTAGACAGAACCTGGCAGGTAGAAGCCACTGCAGCCCCAGAAAAGTGACAAGAGCTAGCTTATATTAGTTTTTTCATCTGTTGAAGAAAGAAAATCAAGTTATCATGTTGAACATTTCCCATAATTCTTGGGGATTATCCGGATGTGTTCTGCAGAATCCAGGGCAGCCCTTTGCATACTTAGATCTCTACCATAGATATTTATTTTGCCCAGTGTCATTGTTATTGTGGAAACTGTAGCAAGCCGGGCCTTCAGTGATTTCTTCTGTGTAAAGTTATGAATGAGTCAAAAACAATAATATTAATACATTTTATTTAGAAGTGCCTTTTAAAGCACCAACGGCACTGTACAGATCAAGCAACGTAACAAAAAAGGCTAATTAATAACGGTAAACATAAACAATTGAAAGGTATGTAATTACAGTGAACAGATATTGTAGGTCTTGAGTTCTGATTCAAACAGAGGTAGAGAATCGGTGTAGCTAATGTTTGGAGGGAGAGAATTCGAGAGTTTGGGAGCAAAGTGGAAAAGTTCTGCATCCCATGATACCATGAAATGAAGAGAGGAGGAACATCCAAGCCTGTGGGAGGAGGCAGAAATATGAAGAAGATCAGAAACGTCAGGAGGAGCAAGGTTACGAATAATCTTGAATGTAGAATTTTGAAATGTATTCTGAATCTGACAGGGAGCCAGTGGAGCTAAGACTGGGGTGATGTGGTGAAAAGATGGTTTTTCAGTAATAATGCAAGCAGCTGAAGTCTGTACCACCTGAAGCTTATGGAGGGATTTTTGAAGAAGACCAAAGAACAGAGAGGTCCAGTAGTTGATCCAGGAGGTGACAAGGTTATGGACAAGAAGACTACATGTGGAGTGTGAGGAAAAGAGAGGGACGTAGAGCATTAATAATGCGGAGATGGAAAAAAGCAGAATGGCTAGTGTTGTTGTTGTGCGAGGTGAAAGGTAGGGTGTTGTTGAGGATGACACATGGACTCCTTACCTTAGGTGAGGGGGAGAGTGTAGAGCCATCAAGTGAAAGGGAAACACTGTCAGCTTGGATAATTCAGATTTGATTTCTACAAAGAGGATCTCAGTTTTGCTGTTATTCAGTTAAAAGAAGTTGAAGGTAAACCCAGATTGTATTTCAGATAAGCAGGGGGAAAGGAAAGTAGGAGAGAGTGGGGAATTTGGTTTAGAAGAATAATAGAGATGTGTGTCATCTGCACGGCAGTGAAAAATAATACTAGAAATCATTTCCTAGAGGAAGAAGGTAAATCACAAAGAGTAGGTTTCCCAGGACAGAGCCGTGAGGCACTTCGATTGCAACAGGGGAAGGATGGGAACTAAAGAACCTGAGATGAACAAACCAGCAATGTAAGAATGAAACCAGTCAAGGAGAGTATGAGTGATGTCAAGGAAAGATAATCAGTGCAGAAGAATGCAATAAGAAATTGTATCAAAGATGATTTTAATGATTTATCTGAGGGCGTTTTCGGTACTGCGGTGGTGAACGGAAACCAGACTAGAATTGTTCATCAATTGTTAAATTGGAGTAAACTTAAGAGACAATTGTCTTTTGAGTACTTTGAAGAGAAAAAATAGATTAGATATGGAGCAAAGATTATTGTAATTGTTGGGATCTGAGCCAGGTTTCTTCTATCTAAGAGTGATCAGATCTTTTTTTTTAAAAAAAATAAAACTAAATAGTACAAGTTAAATGCTATTAAACATGGAAAAATGATTTCAATATTATTTTTATACTTGGTACACAAATAATAAGTTTATCTCTTCCAATTTTTTCATTATACCTCTATTATGAATGTATAATTAAACTTCTTAATTTACTGTAAATTCAATATTTGTTGCTGATGATGCATTTTAATACTTAAAATAATAAGGAACACTTAAATATCACCCTACATATCAAAATCCTTTTTTTTTGTTAGCTGCTCATATAAAAGTAACATCAGTAGCCATGATGTGTTGTAATATGTAATATGATTTAAGCTAATTATAAGTTATGCTAATGACAGCAGGTATGTTACACACTTTCTAGAATAGTTTAGGAATGATGAAGCATCAGGTGATGACAGGTTGGTATGGAAAATATGCGATCAGCGATATTAGAGATGCTTGGAAGTTGAACACTGGAAAATGGCTGACAAAGAGGGAAGATCTCAAAGGAAAGCAAGGTGACATTTTAGGAGAGTAAAATTATTGAATCTTGTGAACTTTCTTATTAAAAACCTGTATTTTATTAATATAGGAGTTTGTTAAAAAAGTGCAGGGTAAAGGCAACCTGAGAATAGAAAATATTGATAATAATTTTGAAGGAGATGAGGAAATGATCAATTATCTGAAGATCATCAGCCGAACAGTTGGAGGAGGCAAAACCAGAGGAATAAATTAAATCCTGGGTGTGACCTTTAATGTATGTGGGAAAGTCAGTGAATTGACCAAATCCAAAGGTTTCCAGACATGATAGGAAGTCTCTGGTGAGGGGAAGGTTATTATTTTCCAGATGCAAATTGAAATGTCCCACGAGTATCACATTTGGTGCGAGAGAAAAAAGGTGAATATAAATAAACTCCAGAAACCCCACCATGGCATAAGTATCCATGGGATATAAATGCTATGGTGGAAGCAACAAATGTGGATAACAGCATTTTCTATGATTATATTTTCCCCATAGGGCCCGGTAGGACCTAATAAATTAAATTGTCATTTCAAAACATATTTTTGTGTTTACTCAAGCTGTTTTTGTCTGGAATTAAAATCCACATCTTTATAAATGATCTGAAATATGTCAGTGTGACAAATTAGCAAAAAGCTTTGAGAGGGCAAACACTTTTTCACAGCATCATTCCCAATAAGATATAAGTTTCATTGATGTTTGTGTGCAAACTTACAGAGGAATTTATACATTGTGATTCCCTTCATTCTAGTTGTTGAACTAGTTGTTGAAACTGTTCAGTCCGACATATCAAATTAAATCTGGAGCATCAGAAGGAAATGCACAGAGAAAAAGAAGCAAAAAATCCTCAACTTACAATGAACTAAAACTGCATTTTTAAAGGAATTTAACTTTAAAAATGTAGTTATGAACTATATGAATCAGTTTTTTTTAGTTGTTAAATTGAAACAAAATAAATAGGAATATCTATAGTATTTCTAGTTATCTTTTAAAAAGGAAATAGCTTTGAAAATTATTTTTAGATGAAAGAAAAAGTTGCACACACACACACACCCACGCGCACACAGCTACCCACACACATATAATTTTTAATGGCCAATAATTTAAACAGTATTTTCAAGTGAGGCTAATTTTGTTCCCAGTGTCTCTCTTCTCTCCAGGAAGAATCATGTAAGCATCTTTTCTAAATGTCACACACAAAGCAACATGTTGAAGACTAGCACACTGCTTTGTTTACTCTTTTTTTTTTGCACATGCTGTAGACACACAAATTTGTGTAAACAGTAAATATAAGGGACAAACACCTGCTTAATAGCGCTCTAAAATTATTGATGTTCCTGATAAAAGTCTGTAAAAAAAAAAACTTTATGAGAAGTAATGTTTTACAGTAATAAAACAATCTCACATTGAAAGATTTGGGGGGGAAAAATTTCCACCTTTAATTAAGTTAGTTTATTCTTTGTATCTTATGTTAATAAACATTTTTTTCTTTCACAAACACTTGTATGCCACAATTTATAGCACAACTAAAATGTCCTATGGAGTTAATGTAACTCATTTTAGACACTCAAAGAACTTTTAATTAGTGATTCATGCCTGAGTGAATCACTGTGATGTCAATATGACAAGCCCATTGTAACAGCTTCCCTGCAAAATGTGAAGAGACTGTGCCAGGCAGATGTTTATTAGTTTTATTAAGGAACTGGAATAAACAAGGCCAGACGATGAGCTCATGTGTAAGTGCATGGCAAGAAAATGAACAGACTTGCTGGGAAAGAGCTGGAGCATAGAGGAGAATCATGGGGACAACAAGTCATCGATAGCAGTAATACATTTATTACTGGTATATATTTAGATTTAAGTATTCATTTATATTTACATACGTTTGTTGCTTGCAAATAGGTTTTGGTTTTTTTTAAGTACTAAGTTAATTTAACTTACTAAGTTTTCAATTGGATGTGAATTACAACAGCGTTTATTTGCTACCAGTGCTTGTTGGGTTGTTTATAATTAGTAATCCTGTTTCA